ACTGTTAGTTTAAAATAGGTAGTTTGTGCTTTTCAGGTGGAGGTGGTGGGGTGATGTGTACATTAGGGTTGTTTCCATACTAATTAGAATAATGCACTTTAAAAGAAAAGCTTTCACAAGTTAGGGTCTSATCAATTGGAGTATTTTCTACAAATGCCGTTAAAAAAATAAAGAAGCTTGGGACTTGGTGTTAGCAGTTTGAATTTTGGGACTCTTAATTGTTTTATACTTGCAACCATAATGATGAGTCTGGTTAAAGTAACTGATCAGTTATATTTTTTTAAAAAACTCTAAAATTGAACAAGCCAATAGGTTGTTTGTATGGAATAGATTCAATAATGTGTTAGAATTTATGCTGTAGAATTCTGTAGGTGAATTGTTTGTGTCAAGAACCTCGTGGTCAGTGGAGCATAATGCATTAAACTTTAAGAGAACTCAGTACAATCCTTAGAGGATACAGTTGTATTCAATGACATACCAAATGCTAAGAGCTCAACATGTATTAGGCTCTCAATAAATAATTGTTTTCTTTTCTTTTTTAAAAATTTTAATTAGGTCTATGACAGCAGAGTGTATGTTGATTCATTGTATTCAATTGCAGCACAATTTTACATTTCTATGATTAAATAACTGTTTTTATTTTTGTTTATATTTTTGGTACTRGAGATTGAACCCGGGGTGCTCTACCATTGAGCTACACTACCAGCCTTTTTTATTTTTTGAGACAGACTCTTGCTAAGTTGCTGAGGGTCTGGTGAAGTCGAAGAGGCTGTCCTCGAACTTGTGATGCTTTTGCCTTAGCCTCCTGAGTTGCTGGGATTACCAGCATGCACCTCGGTGCCCAGAATATTTGTTTTTTAATCATTTAATCATTCACTAGCTGTCTTTAATGTTATGATGGGAATTGACCTTGAATTGATGGGAACTGACCTGAATTCAGTTGTCATTTTATCCAAACAATTTCATTCAAAAATGATGAATTTAGAGGCTGAGCATGGTGGCACACGCCTGTAATCCCAGTGGATCAGGAGTCTGAGACAGGAGGATCTCRAGTTCAAAGSCAGCAATGGTGAGGTGCTAAGCAACTCAGTGAGACCCTATCTCTAATAAAATACAAAMTAGAGCTGGGGATGTGGCTCAGTGGTTGAGTGCCCCTGAGTTTAATCCCTGGTATGCCTCCACCCACAAAAACATAATGAATTTAAAATTTGCTTTGAGTTACATGTGTTTATGTTCATTCATGTAGTCAGGAAGAAGAAAAATCTAACGCATGTTGGAATCATGTGATAGATGTAATTAATCAAAACTTGGTTACATTAGTTAATTCATTTCATCTTAAATATTACTTTATTCTCCAAAGACAGAAAATATAATAAGTTAATGAGAGTATACTGATTTATATCTTTAAAAATCTTCCCACTGCCATGGCCCTTCTTCCCCTAAAATACAAACAAGCAAAAACCTCCAATAACTTTCTAGAATTTGAACTCTGCATTGTCATATTTATTGAGTTTCTCCAGCTGTGATTGTATATAGTAGAATGTGAACCTCATTACTTTAACATTATTTTTCTATCTAATGAAATGCTTGGTAATAATTATCACATGATATATAGAAGCTCAAGGAGATCTATCTAAAACTACTCAACAAAGTAGATATCATAGCACATGCCTCATTTTTTTATCTATACAAAGTAAACACATAAAGCTACCTAACTTCCTTTCATTGTCATCTTTAAGTGATCGTCTTAYCTTTTGAAGAATAAAGGAAGGCTATTTTTTAAATCCAGGATGGACTTTGACCAAATTTATTTCTTTTGCAATTAGTGGATATTCTTCATCTATTAGTGAAAGGCTAGCAGCTTCTGTATTTGCTGATTTATGAATGGCAGATGGTTACCATGTCATAGGGGAAAAAATATAAAAAGTTTCTTGGTGAAGAAATACTGTAGTAGTAATAGGATTTTCATGAGCTGAGTTGTCTCCCAATAAACTATTTGTTTCAACTAAAAACAAAAAAAACAAAACCAACTGGGTCCAGGTTCATTTCAGATTTCTTCCTCTTATTTCTTGTCTGGTACAGCTTTCAGTGAATCAGTTACATGAATGTAGGACTACTGTATCATTGTCCCTTTAAATATTGTTATGCTTCCAAGAAATACCTGTGGAATGAAGGAAACAATTGAGAGCAAGGTTAAGAGAGATGTGCATTTTCCCCGATTTCCTCAAAATTCTACCCATCTTCTACTCTGAAGTTTTGTCTAGGTTTGGCCCAATTCTTTTACATGTTTCTTCCTTTCAAAGCTTGGCTGTGAAGGCTGTCCCTCTCAAGAAGGAGATGGTTTCCTGTGCTGGTAATTTTGATTCTGATAGGGTGAAAAGGAAGATGAGATGTGGATACAGTTCAATCTCCTACAATTGAAGACCAATTAAAAGATCAGGTACAGATCTTCCCTGTCAGTAAGCACCAGGAATAACCTTACTCTGCTTGGCAAATTACCTACCTAAGAAAAGAAGAGGATTTCTTCTAGTTGCAATGGCTTAGGCCAGTGATCCCCATGACTTGGGAGGCTGAGGCAGGAGGATTGCAAGTTTGATGCTAGCCTCTGCAATTTAGTAATACCCTGTCTCAAAAAAAAAAAAAATAATAATGAGGGCTGGGGATGGAGGTGAATGGAGCACCCTGGGTTCAGTCACTAGTACTGGGCGGGGGGAAAGATGCAGTGCTTCAGGGGGAAGAAAATACCTGGAGAGTCTGTGGGGTAATAGCAGTAGAGGGAAGCTAGGACTGGGGAGAAGAAGAAGTAGACTAATTCTGTTTATCATTTTTGGCAACTTGTCTTAGTGGATATGGTCAGAGGTGCCACAGAARGTCGTTTGCTCTGCAGCCTGTATCCGGTACAGCATGATTTCTTTAAGTGCTAAAAGGCATCACAAGTTCAAGGTACTATAAGTTTGATTTTACAATTTCACTTATATGATTTAAACAGTGACTTGAATCATACAGATTGGGGGTGAGRGGGTATAGAATTCTTGGAGCTTGTAATCTGTAGCTAATACCTTGTCAATATTATTAGATGCTTTCTATCTGAAGTTACTATGAGCTAGTTATAAACCCTTTCAGCAGGGCCACCACCCTGTTGAGGTCAATATTCACTCTATTTGCAGATGAGGAAACTGAAGCTTAGAAAGAAGATCAGTAACTTCTCCAAGGCTACACAGCTAGTAAGTGATGGATTTGTGTATTTGATTTCAAAGTTATTATAGATTCAAAAATAATTGTCTCAAATAGAACATAAAGCCTATGGTTTTTCACAACAGATTTTTCTCCCTAATCTTTTGTTTTATTTTGTTATTGTTGTCGTGCTAGGGATTGAACTCCAAGGTGCTTAACCATGGAGCCTCATCCACCGGTCCTTTTTTATGTTTATTTAGAGACAGGGTCTCCCAAAGGTGCTGAGGCAGGCTTTGATCTCTGGATCCTGCTACCTCAGCCTACTGAGCCACTGGGACTACAGGCATGCACTACTGCATCCAGATAGTGTCTCAGCTCTTACAGATGGGTTCTAATACTGGCTTTGACTGCCTAGCTCAGTGTCCTTGATGGTTCCAGCTACAATCTTTGAAAACCTCCATTTTGAAGGTTGAATGATAAACTGGACCAAATCGTTCTGTCAGCTCTTAGAATCTTTACAGGTAGTGAATTGAATCTTTGAATCTGGCTTATTCACTTTCCTAAATAGAATGCTATTTGGGAAAAAAAAAATGTTCACTTTTAAAATTACTAGAAATATTACTTACCCATAATGTTGGCTAACTACATTAGGTTATAACTGCATCCACTTACTGTGCTTCTTGCATACCAGTAAATACACTCAGTGCTGTACACAGATGATCACATTTACTCCTCACTATGGTTTTATRAGGTGGATTTTAAAGTCTCCCTTCTATAGAGGAGAAAGCCAAGGCCCAGAAGGTTTTGAGACCTCCAAAGTCCWATAGGCAGAGCGGCGAAGCCAGAATTCCAGCCCTGTGTGCTTGGCAGCAAAGCCCTTATGTGTCTAAAGAAACACTGGTAAGCTGCACGTATTTTCCAGTTCTGCTTTCGGCCTACGGTTCATGGACAGTGTTTATTCAACCCCAGGTTTGCTTTTCTCTTTTTTCATCTTAATAAAGCATCAGCAGCTCCTGTCTTTGGTTTCACATGCACCTTCTGCCAGCTGAACCATGATTGGGAGAAGCAGAGTGGGAGGAGGTTACTGTGCTCAAGCCGAACGCCTCTCCAAGATCTCCTTTACAGCCCAYAGCAGCCGCGCCGCCCAGGCTTTGTGCCTCGGCCGGCTGGGCGCCACCCCTTCCGCGCGTCCGCGACCGGGCGTTGAACTACGTTTCCCAGCGGGCCCCGCGGCAAGAGCGCGGGCTCGACCAGCCTTCCTTCCTCCTCGCCTCCCCCCGTCGCGGCGGTGATGATGCAGACGCGTCGGGCGCTGACGAGTGACGGTGCTCTGGCTCGCGATCGCGGCGGCGGCCTAAACAGCGGCAATAGGCGCAACAGCGGCGGCGACTGCAGGGACGACGACGACGGCGGGGMGGGCGCTGTGCGCAGAGGGGAGGGGTAGGCGGGCGGCGCCGGCGGCTTCAACTGCGGCAGCGACAGCTAGGGCGACGGAAGAGGCTGCTCCGCCGGCCGGCGGTCGGGTTAGGCCTCAGCGGCGCCGGGAGCGGCTCGCGCCGTCCTCTGCGGGAGATCTCCATAGAGACCGTGACAAACAGACGCGGGGTCCGCGCGAGCTGCCGTTCTGGAGCCGGGTCCTCGGCCTCACCCTCCGCCACCCCCCCCGCCGCCGGCGCGCGCGCACCCTCGGTTTCTGCTCGCGACCTCGCGGTTCTCCGTGAGTCTGTGCCTTACTGTCTGGGCAGCGCGGGCCGACTTTTGGGCCGGGGCCGGGCGGGGGAGGCCCTAAGGCCGCCGCCTCTGCCTCTCCCGCCCGGGAGCGGGAAGCCGCCGAGGCTCCGCCATGGCCTCGGGAGCCGGAGGAGTAGGAGGGGGCGGTGGCGGCAAGATCCGGATGCGGCGCTGCCACCAGAGGCCCATCAAGCCTTACCAGCCGGGGCGACCGCAGCACCAGGTACGGGACGCGGGCGGCGGGCGGGGCCGGGTGTGAGGCCCCGGCGCCCCACGTGGAGAGCGGCCGGGAGGCCCGGGCAGAGGCCGGGAGGCGGCGACGGGAAGTGGGCTGCGCCAGGCCGGGCCTTGCGGCGCACACGTGGGGTTGGGCCGCCCTCGCCGGGCTGGCCCGGGGCTTTCCCGGGCGGCGCAGGGCGGGAAAGGAAATGCGGGGCTTGGGGCTACGTGGGCTTTTTTTTTTTTTTTGGCGGGTTTTGGGGCTTTGACGGTATCACGCCCTTTGGAGGGGACTGGAAAGAGGTGGCTGGTGGCCCCGGAGCTGGCCGTCTGGAGGGGCGCGGGGAGGGGGCTGCCTGGACGGGCCTGGGGGCGCTCTAGGGCGCAGGGTGGCCCGAGGCCCTCGTCCCTCGCCCCCTGCCCGAGGCCCTCCGGCGAGAACCGCGGCTTAGGTCCCCTCCTGGCCGTGGCTGCCGTGCGCCGGGGCGTTTTGAAAGTCCCTCCGCCCTTACGTCGGGCTCTGCCGCGCGACTCTTCCCTCCCTTTCTCTCCTCCCCCTCTGCATTTCGGAGGCTGGAGTCGGCCGATCCCCGCGGCTGGCCGGTCGCCGGCCCTGGGCTCCCGCACCTGGGGTCTTAACAGCCAGGGTCGTGCTCCAGGGTTAGGTGCCCAGGACCCCGGGGGGCCACCCTGCGCCCGCGGGATGCTGGAGATGGTGAAAAAGGGGTTCCTCGAGGTGGTGGGTGAGACGTTTGGTTCCGAGAAAACCGCGCGTTGAGACGGGGCTCTGCGGGAGGACTGAGCGGGAAGCCCTGCCCTGTTTTGGCAGAGCCGCTAGTAAAACTTGTCGGTGGCTCTAAGGTGGGGAGTGCGTCTTCAGTTCCCCCAAACTAAGAGTACAGACCGCACAAGGACCTTGAGAACTTGTTGCATACTGTTAAAGGTACGTTTCCTCGATTGCTTGAACGTCGAACCCTTCAACGTTTTGTGTGGTGGTATTGTTAAATTGTATCACTATCAACAGATTTTTAGAAGTAGAGATTTGAAGGAAATTTTATAATAGTATAAGTCGTGTTTTATGTAGTAAGTCGTTTTTTGCGTGGTTAGAACTCTGGACATTATTAACACTTCCAACAACCCCCCCCCCCCCAGATATGTGCAGAAAAGCTTGGTTTTCAGAGTTCTTTGTGAGAAACAGGGGTGTTTGGAGACAGATTTAAGATTAGAATTCAGGTCACAAGCCTGACCATTTAACCTTACGTAATCCTTTGTGTATGGAAGTTAGAATTACGTGCTTTCTGTTTCTCCTAAGAATAAACTGAATGTTTTCCTAGATCTTATGCTGCTATAGAAAAAAATGAATTTTTAAAAATAAAGACCAATGAATGGTTTGGATTGAATTTAGAAGGGAAATTATATATTCTAGGGTGGCAAAAGTTACAATCACAATTTATTTTAAAAGTACTTAGATAAAAATCTAATTTGGGAGGAATGATGCCTTAATAGTACAACACCTAAAGTCCAAGTTGTTTTTAGAGCTGCTATGATTTCAGGCTGTGTGGTTTTATTTTAAATCTTGATAATTTATCATCATTTCTTATCTAAAATACTTTTTTCTTGTACCAGCCATTTGATTGAAAAAGAAAATATATTTTAGCTTTTGAACTGGGATCTGAGATATTTAGGGGTTTCTTGATCACTTAATACTGGCAGAAACTACGTGGTATTGGGGGATATATTAAAGAATATTCTCCTATTATTTTTTTTTTCCTCTTCATCTTAAAATAAGGACCTTTCTTAGTCCTTACTGGAACTTTGGTGGACCTGCTTGCTCTCAACTATACTAGACAATCCAGTGGATGTTTTGCAGCAGCTGCTGAGTCATCATGAATAGCAAGGAGCTTCATGACATGGCATGTTTTGTACTAATGTTAACTGATTAAGTGTTCAAGGTTTTCTGGGTGAAAATGAAGCCTTTGGTTTTGTGGTAGAAGGTTGGAATAAGAATGAGAGGTCTGGCACTGTTAGTTCATGGGTGTTTGCCAAACCCTGTCAGGCCAACTAGCTAGTGCAGTCACCTGGTACCTGTGACTTCTGCACATGTTCAGTTGACTTGTAATTTCCTGTTTTGACTTCTGGTTTAGCTCTGAGGGAAATGTGTAAAGATTAACATTTTCTCCTTGTAACTTATGATCTTTAAAATGTCACTGTGCTTGAAGATGTGGAGACAGAAATCCATCATCTTACTTAACTCACTGAGGGATAGTAACGCATAGAACTGTCACCGCTGTTGACCGGTGGATCTTACTCCATATTAGACCCGATTTACCTAACTACACTGACTACCTAACTTTAAATCTGGCTTCAGAAGCAAAAATGAAGAATAGCTTTGAACAGTGCAAGCTGATAATTTTCACTTGTATTCTTCTGCCTCTTATACCTTTTAGCTTAGACACTTTTATGAAGGGAATGGTATCATTTTCTACTTGGGAGTGAATAGGTCACTAAAGAGAATGTGGTTAGTTCTTGTCACTTCCCATCTCATTTTTGTGTTGTTCTGTGGAGAGGTCAAACCTCTTGCCTTTTGTAATAGCTACTACAAATTATTCGAGCACATGAGCCAGCAATCAATTCAGAACTGAAAGAAAGGGCTTCTTCTGGAAGAAACTACTGCCACCTCCTGGTGTTTTTTGCCTTCCAATTGGAATTGTGAGATTTGTCTTCTGGTTTGAAGCTAAGGGAGTCCACTCAGCAGTTTTGAGGCTATAAGCAACCTAGTGAGACCCTGTCTCAAAATAAAAAGGGCTGGGGATATGGCTCCAGGATTCAGTCCATGGTACAAAAAAACAAAAACAAAACAAAACAAACAAAAACAAAGATAGTTTACATCAGGGATTGGTAAACTTTTTCTGGAAAGGAACAGATGGTAAATTTTTAGACTTTGCTATTGCTAGTTCTCTGTTTTTCTTTTTCTTTTTTTTTTTTTAACCTGTAAGTGGCACAATACCTTTATTTTATTTATATTTATGTGATGCTGAGGATTGAACCCAGTGCCTCACACATGCTAGGAAAGTGCTCTACTAGACACTGAGCTACAACCCTAGCCCCTCTCTCTCTCCTTTTTACAACCCTTTTGCAAATGTCAAAACCATTCTTATCCTCTGTAAGAACAGRCCAAGGCCTGTTGAATGAATTTAGCCTACAGACCATAATTTGCTAAGCTGGTTTATATGATAGTGTGGTTTTTGTTTTGGTATCTTCTTTTTTGATACTCTGCCCCGGGTAAGTATGTCCTGTGTGCTATCTGATGGCTAAAGTGTTTTGGTTTTGGTAAGAAGGGATATTTAAAGGTTGAGTGTTAAACTCATTCTAGAAGATCACAAAGTAGTTCTGACTTTTGTCTTTATTTGTTTTATCCTAGATGCTTAATATTTTAAATGGATATAAAAATGGAAATAATTGATTGGAAAAACATACTCTAATGGGATTAACTGAGTTTGAATCCCATTAGATTGCTCTGATTTGGGCAATTTAAATTCTTAATTTCCTCATCAGTAAAGTAAAACTTGTTGTGAGGGTTAAATGAGATAATATAAGTATAGCTTTAGTATATGATCTGACATGTATAGTTRGGACTCCTTTGAAATTGTTGTGATGAAGTAGAACCTTTGAATTTAAATGTCTTTAAATTGTGTCTGATTTGGGGGGGGGGCGTTGAATGAGAGGTGCTTTACCACTGAGCCACATTCCCAGCCTTATTTGCATAACTTTTATTTTGAGACAGGATCTGGCTTAGGACCTTGCTAAATTGTTGTGGCTGGTATGGAACTTGTGATCCTCCTGAGTCACTGGGATTACAGTGTACCCCTGATACCTGGCATGAATTATCTGAATTTTGCTTCCTCTTAGAGGTTCTACCCCCTTCCCAAGTTTAATCCTTAATAGGTTTATATAAGATTTGAGATCTTTGTTTACTGAGTGATGAGGTGGTGAGACCAAATATTAAACAACTACTACCCTTTTAAGTATTTAGTATTTTCCTCATATAAGTGCCAGTCATTTTAAGTATATGGAAAAAAAGCCACAAATATTGTTTAATGAGAGCTAGGTTTGTTTTTTTGTTTTGTTTTGTTTTTTGGGTAGGGTACTGGGGATTTAACCCAGGGATGCTTTACCACYGAGTCACATTGCTACCCCTTTTTATTTTTCATTTTGAGACAAGGTCTCCCTAAGTTGTTGGGGTCTTGATAGATTGCTAAGGCTGGCCTCAAACTTGTGAGCTTCCTACCTTAGCCTCCAGAGTTGTTGGGATTACAGGTGTGTGCCACTGGTCCAGCTATTTACTAAATTTTTAAATTAAGGTGACAAAAAAGCCCAAGTGTATCCTTTTTTTCCTGGAAAGAACCTTGCTAAGGTAGGTAGCTATTAGTTTGAAGTAAAATGAAAACTTTGGTCTTTACCTAATGAAAATTGTTTTCTTTAGGTAAAGTATTATTAGATTGCAATGGTTCCATATTTTAAAACACTTGTAGCTACTTTGATTATGGCTAAAATATATTTTTAAAAGATCGTGCACTGGAAAGCCTGTTGTAACTTCTTGCTGCCAGCTACARCTAATTGTCAGAAATAAAATGATAAGATAGATGGCTTTCTTATCCATATATGTCAGCTTGTCAGTTTGTTTGCTTTTGCTTATCTTTTTTCATAGTGTGATTTAAGAAATAAACTTTTACCCCAGTTTTCAAACATCTTAGGTGAGAAAAATGTGGCTGTATCTTATGGATGTTGTTTTAGTGGGCTTAACTGCTGTGAGCTTTTAATGGGTCATGAATTCTCCTTAGCTGCATTTATGGAAGAAAGTTTTTAAAAAGGTTAAAGTCTGTAGCCAATTGTAGAATTTTTGTTCTTTCATCAGAAAAGTATTTTAAGTGTCTAGAGAACTTGAGCTGCTTGGATGGGGTAAGTTTGGCCACTGAGTGACTAACAGCTTATAAAATATGGCAG